GAGGGAGAAGGTCAAATACCGTATGATCTCACTCATTAAATAGCAGATAATAACAACAAACAAACACACACACAGAGATTGGACTGGTGATTACCAGAGGGGAAGCAGGGAGGGAGGAGGGTGAAAGGGATGACTAGACACATGTGTGTGGTGATGGATTGTAATTAGTATTTGGGTGGTGAACATGAGAACACGATGTAATCTATGCAGAAATAGAAGTATAATGATGTACACCTGAAATTTATACAATGTTATAAAGCAATGTTACCGTAATAAACAAAAAAATAAGAAAAAAATAAAAAGGAAATAATCCTATTTAATATGACATTAAAAAGGATGAAATACTTAGGAAAAAACTTGGCCAAGGAAGTGAAAGACTTACACGCTGAAAACTACAAAATATTCCTAAAAGAAATCAAAGATACAAATAAATACAAAGATATTCCAAACTCATGAATTAGAAAACTTCATATTGTTAAATATGCATACTACCCAAAGTTTTCTGCAGATTCAATGGAATCCCTATCCAAATCCAAATGGCAGTTTTTGCTGACATATAAAATAACATGCTAGAATTCATATAGACTCTCCAGGGACCCCAAAGAGCCAAAACACTCTAGAAAAAGAAGAAAGTTGGAGGCCTCACTTTTTTAGATTTCAAAACATATTATGAAGCAAGAGTAGTCAAGATAGTGTGATACTGGCATAAACACAGACACACAAGCCAAAGGAATGGGATAGAATGCACAGAAATAAGTCCTGGCATACATGCCAAATGGTATTTGACAAAGGTGACAAGACTACACAAGGAAGAAAGGACAGTCTCTTCAACAAATCAGGTTGGGAAAACTGGATATCTACAGGCAAAGGAATGAACCTGGAACCTGACCTACATCAAATGTAAAGGCTTCTGTGTCTAAGGATACAATCAGCAGTGAAAAGGCAAGATCTGAGGAATGGATGTGATGAAAATGATTTAAAGAATCTCCATCTGTCAGACATTTAGGTTGATTTTATATTTTAAAATCAATGATGGAATAAAAGACCCTCCATCACTTATGTCTGTTTCTGAACTTTCCATTCCATTTCCAATCCTTAAGATTTTGACATCACTGACTCATTCATTTAGCTTCATATGTACTATTAAAAAGTCATAATGATTTCCCTAATTGGTCTCTTTTCCAGAATTCACCAGGTATTTCTATATATTAATATGTGACTTCCATGTGCACCTTCTGTTATCCTTGTCTACAGAGAGATGTCAGTGTATCCAGATGGGGCCCTTAAACAATGCCTGCTGCCCAACTGCACTGACACCCCATCTCCAATCCATGGATGTGAAGCCCTGGCCAGGACCACACCCAATGGAGCCTCCTCACAAGTTCCGTGTCGCGGGGTCATGGTGAGATGGAATCTAAGTGGAGATGAGAAGGAATGAGGGAAGGTCCTGAGTGAAAGTGAGGAAACAGGTGTCAGGAAGGATACTTCAGTGTCACAGAAGGTTAACAAGTCCAGAGAAGGGCATTTCAGGAAGGAGAGACAGAACAATCAACTGAGAATATGACTTTACCTGAGAAAGAGCCATTCTTGACTCCTTTTCTTTCGTTTTCCTCTGCTTCCGGAATTCTTCCTCAGGCAACATGAATCTTTAGATGTCTTTTTTTTTTTTTTTAAGATTTTATTTATTTTTTTTTTCCCCCCAAAGCCCCAGTACATAGTTGTATGTCATAGTTGCACATCCTTCTAGTTGCTGTATGTGGGACGCGGCCTCAGCATGGCCGGAGAAGCGGCGCGTCGGTGCGCGCCCGGGATCGGAACGCGGGCCGCCAGCAGCGGAGCGCGCGCACTTAACCGCTAAGCCACGGGGCCGGCCCTACATGTCTTGAAAGTTGAAAATATGCTGCTTAATGCTTCGAATCAACATACCTCCTTCCTGTGCCACAACCACTCATTCAGGAAAGACCTCATCATGTGGAAAAGAAGGTCTCTGCTGCCCACTGCATCAGGAGGAAATCAGGGACAGTAAAATCCTACCTAAAGACCAACAAGTGAGTTTTCCCACATTTTCTTCAGATCACGCTTCCCTCCTTGTGAAGCCCTCACATACACTGCAGCAGTGGGGATCTGGGCTGGACTGATCCTCCCCTTCAGGTCACAAACCTGGCCCTGATCAAACTCCATGCAGAGCAGAGCCCCCCACCCTCAGCCAGGATCTCAGCCCTCAGGAATGGGAGGACTCAGAGCCTAGGTGCTCAATGCTGGATACAGATTAGAATCACCTGGGACACTTTAAATATTAGTGAGGTTAGGCCTCACCCCAACTATTTGCAGCAGAATCTCTGGTCAGAGGACACAGGAGATGTATTTGAAAAATGCTTCAGCAATCTAATGTGAAGCCGGGGTGAGCATGACTCAGAGGAGGCAAGCCCAGGACACCTATCACTTTCTTTTCCAGCTTTACTGAAGTAGAATTGACCAAGGAAAATTGCGTATATTTAAGGTGTACAACGTGATCATTTGAAGTACATACACACTATGGAATAATGATAAGTAAGTTAATTAACACATCTATTACCTCACAACTACCATTTTTTGTGTCTATGTGGTAAGAACACTTAAGATTTCCTCTCAACAAATTTAGAGTATATAATACAGTATTATGAACTATAGTCACCATGTTGTACATTAGATCCCCAGAACTTATTCATTTTACAAGTGAAAGTGTGAACATTTTGACCAACATCTCCCCATTTTCTCTACAACCCACCCCCTGGTAACCACCATTATATTCTGGTTCTATGAGTTTGATGTTTTTAGATTCCACATATAAGCTAGATCATAGAGTATTTGTATTTGCCTGACTTATTTTACTTAGCATAAGGCTCTCCAGGTTCATCCATTTTGTCATAAATGGCAGGAATTCATTTATTTTTATGGCTGAATAATATTTTATCGTATATATATATACCACCTTTTCTTTATCCATTCATCTGTCAACAGACATTTAGGTTGTTTCCACATCTTGACTGTTGTGAATAACGCAGTAATGCTCATAGGAGTGTAAGTACCTCTTCGAGATACTGATTTCATTTCCTTTGGATATGGAGCCAGAAGTGTAATTGCTACATCATATGTCAGTTCTATGTTTAATTTTTTGAGGAACCTCCATACACTTTCCCATAATAACTGTAACCAATTTACATTCCCACCAACAGTGCACAAGGATTCCCTTTTCTCCACACTCCCCCCAACACATTAACTCTTATCTTTCTGCCAGTAGCATCCTAGAAGGTGTGATACCTCCTTGTGTGTCTGCTCTCTCCTAGGACATTGTTGTCAATAGCATTCAGACAGTGGAAGGGGAAGGAGCAGAAAGGAACGTGCAGAGCAGGCAATATGGAGCAGAGGTGAGGATGAGGGTATGGCTCGCATGTTAAATGGGAGGGGGTCCAAGAAGTCTCCACTGAGAAGGTAAAATCAGAACAAACCCCTGGAGGAGGAAGGGCTTTTTTCCACTAAATATTATGTGGAATGGAAAATTTCCATTTTATTAAAAGTTACAGTGAAGAAGTTTAGTTTAAGAATTCTTTTAAAATTGGGGCTTCTAATACACTGGACATGGTAGAAACTTATAGGATCATGTAACTTCAAACCTAATAAATTAAAATTTACTTAGAATTAACTGGGCAGAGAAGTGAGAATAATTTCCTAAATGTAAAAGCCTATGTGAAGATCAATGAACAACATGAGAAGGAAAAATAATGGCTCTGTAGTGACTGGCCCCGGATGGAGCTGGAGACAAAACAATATGTTACACACCGCAGGACACTGGATACCAGGTTTTGTGTTTTTACTTCAAATACTGAGAGGAATGGTAGTCAACTGAAATATGTGATTGTCTGGGGTAGAGGGGAGGATATTTAAAATACTTCCAAGTAAAAATGGGCAGAATGGTCTGGGCGAGGCCAAGTGCACGGTGGAAGCAGGACAGAAGATTTTAATAAGAATTCAACTCAGAGCTGATGAATCTGAGAGTCATTAAATAAAAGACAGGATTTTGGAATTTCTAGAAGGTAGAATATTCTCTATTAAGCAGTCATCCCAATTAGCCTGTTTGGAAGACAGAGGCTTCCAGATGGACTCCGTGTCCGCAACACGGGGCAAGTCTACTGTAGAGGTGTTCATCATTCAAAGAGGAGCTGAGGAGGAGGCATCTCAGGTGAAGGCCATCGAATGGTTTTCTTTACGAGGAGTGTTGTTGCTTTGAAATACCCAACAGTAGAAAATTTACAGAATTTTATAGAAAGAGATAAAATGGACAATCCCTCATTCATAATAAAAAAGAATTCAGAATCTTCTTTCAATTATAAAAGACATGAAATTTATTAAGGATTCAACAATTTGGAAAATATAATGAATGAGTTTGATATAATAGACATATGTTGAACTTGTGCTATATGCCACAATTTTTAGCACATACACAGCAATAGAAAAATCAGAGCACAAAGTAAGTTTTTAACACACCTAAATATTTCAGAATGAGACATACTATATTTGCTCCCATCAAATAATAATGTTTGTAAAACTATACATTCAGGAGTACTAAAATACTTCTTAAAATCTGGTCAATATTTCTTTTCTTTTCTTTCTTTTCTTTTTTTTTTTTTGTGAGGAATATTGGCCCTGAGCTAACATCTCTTGCCAATCTGCCTCTTTTTTCTTTTTGCTTGAGGAAGATTGTCCCTGAGCTAACATCTGTGCCAATCTTCCTCTATTTTGTATATGGTACACCACCTCAGCATGGCTTGATGAGGGGTGTGCAGGTCTGCACCCAGGATCCAAACCAGCAAACCCCAGGCTGCTGGAGCAAAGCACACAAGCTTAACCACTACCCCACCGGGCTGACCCCTAATAAAAACTTGGAATGTTTAAAGTAAAAGTCAGCAAAATGTTCCATATCAATGTTGTGCAATGCATTCAATTCAAGAGTAGTTGAGGGAAATGAGACAGCTACAGATTTCCATACTACACTAGGAGATGTCTGGACAATCTATGCACTAGAGGGGCAACAAAAGAATTTTCTGAAAAAGAAACTGAAGCTAAATGCAAGTAAAGCAACATGATATAAATTTTAAAGTATTGAACTAAATTACGTAGAGTTTAATTAAAATTCAATAAAATAAAATTATAGATAAAATAGAGCTACTGTAATGTTGATAGAAAATAGGAAAGGACATAAAATTAACAATAAATAGTAGATAAACACGAATTTATTTAATAGAATAGAGATTTCTAAAACCTCCAGGGACAAATAAACTTGAGTTCTGTAAAATATAGAATATCAAAAGTGAATTAAAAGGAATTATAACCCAGAAAACCATAAGTAACATTTCAATACTTTCAAACATGAATGAAAATTTATGATTATTTTACAGAATCTTTTTCCTATATTTTCAAAGTTCAGAGTGTCTTCCTTCTTCTAAATCTACTTTATAAACTAGAAAAAAAAGAAAGCTAAGAAGAGATTTTATGTGTCTATTATACCTTGTTAAAAAGTTGGGAGAAACCAATGTAAATTATGAATTTTCATATAAAAATTAAAATATTCAGCATGACTTAGAAGGGTTTATTTCAGGAATACAAGACATATGAATAAGAGAATGTGGTCCAACATATTAAAAATTAAATGAGAAAACCTTAGTCACAGAATAAATAGTTTTCACTCTTGTGAATATTTTCTCATCAGTAGATAATTTAGAGAAAATACTGTACCAGAGAATATTTCAATTATTGGTGATCACCACACATCAAGATATAAGAACAAACGCATTTTTAATGAGCATATACGTATATAAGTTTGTTGGACATTTAAAACATAGTTTTTATGAAATACTTAAATGAAACATTTCATTTTCTTACATTTACCTTACTTTAAACTTGAGCATTCTATTTCCTAAGGTGATAATGTACTCATTCCCTAATATGTTGTTTTACCATGAATCTAAGATTTCAGAAGAAAAGTGAAGATCTGAACTCAAGTCTTAAGATGACATCTGCTTAACATCATGACCGCCACCTTATAAAGGCAAATTAGCTAGAACCATCCACTTAAGTTGCTCCTAGCTTCCTGATCATCAGAAACTGTGAGATAATAGAAGTTTGTAGTTTTAAGTTACACAGTTTGGGGGTAATTTTTAACATAATGAGAAATAACTAGTACAGCCTATGAGCCATCAATGCCACTTTCAGAGCCACCCAGATAATACTCATGCTGGTTCAAAAATCCAAGAAGTAAAAGAATGGAAACACTGTACATTCTAGCTAACAGATAAAAATAAAATAACACTGAAAGTCTAAAATGAGGAAACTACTACATAATCTGGTACATTCATATTCTTTAATATCAGAAAATATCTCCAGAAAAAAAAGTACTCTCGATTAAGAAAATCAACCGGTGTTTCTGTAAAACATTAGTACGGAGTAACAGTGGGCTATATGTTGGTATTATACACACTATCTTGCATATCCTTAAATGTAAATTAAATAGTCTGAAAGGATATAGCTCACACTAATAGGGGGTTTATGTTGTTACAAAATGAGTAAGAAACAAGAAATAATCAACAGAACATATTTCCATCCATATTAT